CTCAGTATTGTTTGTAACTAAGATTTTATTACATCATAAAGTGGAGATTTACATAAAAATAGCTTGGAATGTGAAATACCTCCTTGAATGAAAAAAGGTGATGTTTTGGCTTCTATACAGTGTGGCCTACAGTATAGGTTGAAACATCATTCCATTTTCATTCAACAGGCAGTTGCAGTCCGTTAACATAGTAAGTTTTCTCTGCCTAAAATTCCACTGAAACAACATTAATACTTCCTTGTAAAAGAAATGTACACCTGGCTCGGAATGTAAAATTACAGTACATAAAGAATGTGGGATAATTGATTTAAAAAATCTGCAAAACTACTTACATAATACCTGTGTTTAAAGTTACCGTTTGTAAAAATGACAGATTGTCTAAATTAATTCAGGTTGCTGTGGTGAAGTTAAATAGACTCAAAACACCATGGAAAAAGTGAGAGATTATCTAAATTAATTCAGGTTGCTATGGTGAAGTTAAATAGACTCAAAACACCATGGAAAAAGTGAGAGATTGTCTAAATTAATTCAGGTTGCTATGGTGAAGTTAAATAGACTCAAAACACTGGAAAAAGTGAGAGATTGTCTAAATTAATTCAGGTTGCTATGGTGATGTTAAATGGACTCAAAACACCATGGAAAAAGTGAGAGATTGTCTTCTTTGGAATTTCAAAGGAAACAGCATGTGTAAATGTAAGAAGTACGAACAATACATTGTAAGAGAAACCTGCTGAGAAACAAGTTTTAATCTTCCTTGTACCAAGATATCAAACAGAGGTATAGAGCCAACATAATTTAATTGTTAACAGAAACTTTTTTTAATCATTGGAAGGTGAACTTTTGGGGGTAAAAATTGTAGATTGGTAATTTACTATATTGGTAATCATCATTAAAAAATCTCTGAAGGTTATGTACTTTTTAAAAAATATTCTGTCCTTCACTCAAGTTCATCACAACTTTGAGATTGTCAGATGAAGAAGTTTGCATGACAATAAAGTGTGAATTACACGTAAAACCTAATTTGTAAATGGTTTAAATGAAGTTGATAAGAATTACAACTCACTAGCATAATCTGACTTGCACCATAGCTGTTATTCATTAAAATTTATATATATCTATTCTTAAGTCAGTTTAACTTACCATCCTTTTTTTTCTATGCTTAGATATAACACGTTTTCCCTATTCAACTGTTTCATTGTAGCCTTGCACTATATTTATCAGTCCCTTGAAACACGGAAACCTTTCGTAAGTAAAGAAGCTTGACAAACTATCTCTGCGACTGAAACATATAGGCCTAAAAATTATTATATAAACAGTTTAACTGCAGATTTTTTTTCTACATTTGTCCATTAGAGCAATTTATAACAGCTATTTAAAAATAGCATTTCGGATCTATCCTTTGTCTCCCACAAAGCTTTGTATATAATCATTACACACAATTCATTTTAGTATAATTTTGTAGTTAAGAAAAAGTTTCCTACCACTTAGTATTCTCTTACTGTGTTGCACAAAAAAGGATAATTGAAACTTTATATTTTTAGTTAGACAAGGCCAAACCATCCCTCAGTTCTGTATGTTGATCTGAACAGCAAACATATGGTCATTTAGCTTACTCTACGAACAAACTTTTGAGAATTCCTTTAGCCATATGGTATTAATGTGTTCAAATCTGAAGTTTTGACAAGGGTGGCTTGTAAGGTGTTACCTGATTGGTCATTTGCAGAGATTCTGACTAATAACAGCATAGTTTGTTTTGCTAATGCTTTTTAGACTGTGTTATGAAAGTAGCACAACAAATCTGGTTTGATAATGTCTATCAATGAGTGTGATAAAGATCCCCATTTTGTTAAGGACATAAGTTCTATGAAGAACAAATCCAGGTGGGACTGGATTGAAGAAATTGTGCATGTAAATACTGATGAGGCAGGTATGTCCTAGTTTGTATAACTTGCACTTCAAAAGTAGATCTGTTAGCTAGCTATTCCAGGAAAGGCCTAATGCATAGCGTGTGAATCTCAATCAAAGTGCTTTGCAGCACTAGTTAAATATTGTGAGCATACAGATAACCTGTCAGAATTAGGAGTAACAGCTTTTTTTGTTACCTGTGTCAGTGACACCAGTTTCAAGTACTTATTCCAGTGCTATCAATTCTATGTCTTGCAGGCAGTCTGGCCCAGGAAAGAATGGAATATATCCACGTTTGCTAAATTCCGAGACAGGTGAACCACCCAAACAACTGACTACAGTGAAATCTGCCATTTCTCTTGATATACAGTATCATGATAAATTTTGAAACATTTACAAATGTACTAGGTTCTAGAATACAACAAATATTAATTTGCCTCTAGAAACAACTTTGTTTAGGATATTTTGAAAGTGACAGTGTGAATTCAAAACATTTTAGGAAACAAATACCGATTATGCTTATTTGTATCTCCTAGCCCATATATGTTGACACTTTTGATTCAAACACTTAAACATATATTGTAAAAATGTGTAACTTAAATTTCATCAGTAAATTACTTAGATGTCTTTGGAAATAGCTTCTAATATGTGCTCCCTTGCAACAGTTTCTTTTCTTCCATTGACATCCTTATATTTAATTAATAAAGACTTCTTTATCTTTCATTTGTTGTTGAGCAGTGAATGCTGAAGTTTTTATTGTAGGTTATCCTGTTATATGTTGCTGAGGCATAGGTGAATACTGAAATTTGTTTCTTCATTTAGTTGATATGTTCTTTTATAGGGATCACAGTGCTAGAATGTCTCATTAGCATCTAAAATATAGTTCTGTATTGTGAAGGTTATTTCTAACCAGCTAACATGTAGTTTTGTATTGTGAAGGTTATTTCTAACCAGCTAAAATGTAGTTTTGTATTGTGAAGGTTATTTCTAACCAGCTAAAATATAGTTCTGTAATGTGAAGGTTATTTCTAACCAGCTAAAATATAGTTTTATATTGTGAAGGTTATTTCTAACCAGCTAAAATGTAGTTTTGTATTGTGAAGGTTATTTCTAACCAGCTAAAATATAGTTCTGTAATGTGAAGGTTATTTCTAACCAGCTAAAATGTAGTTTTGTATTGTGAAGGTTATTTCTAACCAGCTAAAATATAGTTCTGTAATGTGAAG